TCCATTCGGTCCTCTGTTAGGTCCGTCTGTCCGAGGCTTTGATCGAGGTTTCGAAACATCTTCCTTTTTACGGCGCAAGGTTGTTAGCCTTGCGACCAACCCCCAACCTGGAGGACCAGGGTACCTGTCTTAGTCTGACCTCTCCCCCTCGACCAATCTGGCTAGGGAGGCCCTACCAGTAGCAATGCTACCGCCAGCATAGCTCTTGGAGTCACTGAGGTACTCAAGCCCCACCACCACGACAAGGTGCAGGCACCATTAAGTGGGGATTTAGAAATACTTGAAAGATTAAATTCTACACTTTCCAAGCAAGTTATTTTTATTTGTCATGGGATTATCAGGAATTACTTTGCCCGCGTTCTAGAGGCGCGTAAAGTGAGTACCAGGGTAAGTGATGGCTATAGAGTGAGGTGTCACTTGAAACTGCGTGTATAAGAATTTATGTTCTGTGACACTCACACTGTGACTAATGGATGCCTGTGAAGGGGTTTTCCGAACAGTCAGGAGACGCACTGCCAGGGCTTCCTTCGTCTTGCATTGTCAGTCTCTGCAATGTCACAGCAGAATGAAGCTCGACCGGGGACACAGGTCACTGTAAGTTGCATTTCTTTTTGTCTCCAAAACCCCAAGACTCCAACCATTTTCCAGAACTTCCTCTTTTCAGATTTGTGTAATGTTTCATTTCGCGATTTTGCAGACATGATGGACCAGTGATACACCTAATCACACTACGAAACACGTGTTCCGTAGTCATTTTTCCGTAACGAGGTCAGGGGTCGCCAAGGTAATTGTGTCAAGCTTATGGATTCCTGTAATCAGGGATGCAGTTTCAAAAGTAAAAGCTATTTGAAGAGGATGACTTTCCCACTTCAAATACGTCGTATATTAAAGAAGCTCTAATAAGTAGAGTTTGACATTTTGCTATGTAACTTTTCAAAGTTCCAAAAAAAAGCATGCTCCATCAACTGCCTGTAATTTAATTAGTGATAATAATTAATGTAATTAATAACATTTAGTTGTACCGTACTACGTTAACGGGTGTACAAGTACAACGGAAGACGAATGTTAGAGCCGTGATTTAAACCGAAGTTCTCGAGCTGCTACTGGCCCGTTTAAAAGAAATAGGTGCAGACGACGCTGTGTTGTGTAGTGTGATGCTGTTCTGGCCGTAGGATGGCATGGACTTGGACGACGTCTTGCCTCATGTGGGGGAGTTTGGACGCTATCAGAAGCTGTTGCTGTGGCTAGTTTGTCTTCCCGCTTGCGTACCGTGTGGCTTCTGTGCCTTCAACCAGTTGTTCATGGCCGATGTCCCCGATCACTGGTGCCATGTGCCTGAGCTCATGGACCTGCCCGGTATAAGTCCCCAGGACCTCAGACAACTTACTATTCCTCCTGACGTAAGTTATTTGTATAACGAACCTTTGTCAGTTGACGAGGAAACAAATCTTTGAGTATTCTGTCTATCTTTATGAACCTCTTTGGCAGGGCACAGATATTCCGCGGACCTCCTTCCCCACTTCTGGTGGGGTTTTTTCAGTTACAAACGATGAAGTGTATGTCGTAACATAAAGACGAGATCTTCATTGAAATGAAAGGGGCCAATGTGATTTTATGAATAACCATGACCTTTGACCTTTATTTAGAAGCAATAGCCAGAGTTAAGGCTTTTATCCCATCGTCTCACAAGCCTGTTGATGGCATTCTCGTTGAAAGACCGCGGTAGGTAAATGTCTATCAACGCCTCCCGTATTCTGTCGTCTGTTGAAACACGTTGGCCCTCAAACATGTGGAAATCTGAGCTGGTTGGGGGGTGAGCCAGGATCTCCCACCCACGTTGCGTAATAAGAGAAGTTTACTTTAAAGGTAATGGTCTCTTGGTACTACTTAAACTAAGCGCCGTGAAGACGTGTGAAGTATTTGTGGAACAGCTCCACTCTTGACATCTGAAGGTAATAAGCTGCCAGCTTCACGTCCCGACCGCTTTATCCCCTTGGAAAGCTCCCACGGCACCTGTTAGGTTAGGGGTTTTCAGCTTCGGTCTGGATCCAGAGGTTAAGAGAAAAATCGATAGCTTCCACCTGGAAACGAACTTGTCATCTAGCCCGTACAGACTGAACTAAGCAAGTTGCATGATTGATTGTATCTGTGGAATTTGCTGCTTATATAGGGAAAGGGATACGAATTTTTACGTGCAAAATGCAGTAGAAATTATTAGTCATTATTTTTGTTGACATTCCAGCAAGAAAAGTATTATGTGTAAGAATACAGAGTTTTCCCCTTTCCCCATCCGTCTTTCCTGTTTCCTCTAAAACGAAGCCTTGCGGGGTCGATAATGAGATTATGTGGTTGCCTTCAATCGATACGGTGATGTAGCGGATAGCAGACGGTCTCATGGGCGAATCTGAACTCTGTCTAGGCCTAGGTTGAGAAAAGATGTAAAGGTTGCTGATTCAGGCTCGCAGATGGGAAATCCGAGGACCACGTCAGTATTTTGTCCTTTGTGTTATCATTCAAATATTCTTTCCGAGTACTTTTGCGTCCTTTTGCATAAATCCTGGGAGGGGGGGGGTCTGATTGTCCTCTATTTTCTATCTCCAAAACTAGCCAACGGATTTGAAAGTAATTTGGAGTTTAGTGTTCACACTAAAAGTCACTGTGAGAATTTAACTTTGGTAGGTATCGATCTAATATGAAAAATATGCAAATTTGTGAAATTGATTTCGTGGTCACCTGAAATATAGATGTATTATTGTATTATGTTACTAATTCATGCACTGTATTGGTTGTGCATGTAAAATTTGGTTGAACAGCTGAGTGATCTTCCTAGCAGGGGTAAGAATTTTCTTTTTGCCCTTACCTTTAGACAGCCTGCCCTCTGTCGCTAGATACTGGGGCTTCTTCCATAGGGGTAAGGTAACTGGAACATAAGCTCATTAGCCGTCTCCATAATGACAAGTCCCAAAATGCGTGGAGTTTTGTGTTTATTCCTGATATATTCATGGCATTTACTACTTAACACGGATAAGGCCACCTTATCATTTACTTGTTAATTCAATTTAATTTGCCTCCGTGGTGATAACGATTTCCCACAGAAGAACATTTTGTCAGGTTTCATTTAAGTAAGTAAACAGGGTTTCAGTAACACTGATGTTTTTTCTGTTGTTCGTAGGAAAAGTCAAATTTGACATTCAGCCAGTGTTTGCGCTACGCAGTGAACTGGACAGCGCTGCTGCAAACACACTCCCTAGCGGAGATCGCCCCAAACGAGAGCTGGCCTGTCGAGCCATGTTCCGCAGGTTGGGAGTACAACACCACGCAAGTTACATCTTCCATTGTTATAGATGTGGGTACACAAAAATTTTGATATTTTAATGTATTTGAAGTGCTCTGTGATACTGGAATGTCAAAATCTTAGCCATCACTTATTCTTCCCATAACATTGTTCATTCTTAGTTTGTTTAATGATGCTGTCTTAACTGCACAGGTTATGTGGAACGTAAAGAGTTGGATGAACTTACAGGCCTCTATCATGCTTTTACCCCCATGTAAGCTGGAATTTGTCTTCTTCCATTTCACTTATTTTTTTTTCACTTTTGGTTATGCTAAATAACTTGAGCATTATTGGATCGTTCTGATATCCCTAAGGAAATTTGGTACATTTTCTGCATAAGGAAATACTAAATTAAATTAAATCCATGGTGTACCAGCCCTCTGAGAGCCAAAGCCGACTAGCTGGCTGCTGGCATAAGCAGAGGTGAACGATCATCCAACCAGTTATACGGTGACGTGTGGTCAGCACGACGAACCCTCAGCCATTGCTAGTTTTCCTGACCGGGTTACGCTACCCATTGTAGCTCCCCAATTTCCTCACGATGCT